GGATCCTGTCCGGGGTCGGCGATTGCGCTGGTATTACGATATCGAGCGTGGCACTTGTAGCCAATTTGTTTATGGTGGTTGTAAAGGCAATGCCAATAGATTTCGTACTCTTGCTGCCTGTCAGCAGCGTTGTTCTTCGCAAGGTATAGATAGCAATAAAAAAAATAAAAAGAGCTTATTCACTTCATGGTAATATCACGCACAATCTGATAAAAGATATTTCCATTTAACTTTAAAAAAGCGCCAGACTTGTTTCCTTATTCCTTTCTTGAACATACATTAGCTCACAGGTGATGGTGATCGAATAAAATACATTCAATGAAACGCTGAATTGTTATCAGCAGTCATTTACAAAAATTCGTTTTGTATGCATGTTTTTACTTGCACAATTTTGCCCAACACAAAATAAAAAAATTAATGCCAAATTATGCAATTTTTAAATCTTTCTTTTATAAGATTCTTTTCATATAATAAAATTGTACCTCACTTTATATTTAACGTCGCTATTGTTTTATACAATTGAATCAAACAGAATAGATCTGATTTTACTTAATTAAAAAATAAATAATATTTTTAATGAATATTCTGTTCTATAAGTTTCATATTATTATAATATTATAATTATTATAATATAATTTTTTACAACAAATTATAGGTACATATGCACGTGTAATATAATTTGTATGTTTAACTTTATTATATTATATTACATAAGTATATGACAGTAGTAAAGAATAAAATTTAATATAATATGAGTTTTAATAAGTAATATGTTTGAATCAAATATTCATAAATAGTAATAGAACGGTATATAACTAGCAATAGGAATAAGAATTTTAAAATTAGTGACACACACACACACACACACACACGCGCGCGCGCGCGCGCGCACGTACGCACGCACACACGCACGCACGCACGCACGCACGCACGCACACACAAATATATTAAAATAACTAAAATTAAAATAATTGGGACAAATAATTAATATCTAATCTAACTCTGCATGGGATAATAATTAATGCGATTAACAGATATTTGCACGTTGCCACGGGCGGAGGGTACATGCATAGAGAAACAATCTCGATGGTACTTTGATCAGTCGGAGAATCGCTGCATGCCATTCTATTACACCGGCTGTAATGGCAATAAAAATAACTTTGTGTCTAGAGATGCATGCGAATCTGATTGTCCTCCTAAAATTGGTAAGATTTTATTTTCCTTACCTTCCTCCTAAACTTTTCCTCTTTCACTTCAAAAATATTTGTTCCTTTCTATTGTATTAATAATATGATCTATCTTTTTTTTCTTAAAAGTATACAATGCACAAAAAAATATTAGTAAAACTTCAATTTATATTTAGTTGACTGAGTATATTATATGTAATACATGTATGCAATTCTATTTTTCCATAAAAAAAAATGAAAGATAAATGCATGCATATTCTCTCTCTCCTCTCTCTCTCTCTCTCTCTCTCTCTCTCTCTCTCTACTACTATA